TGCCATTACATTTATTTATTTATATTATAAGAACAATAACATAGGATATAACAATAACAAATTATTATTATTATTAAATTAAATAGAATACAATTACAGGTACACTTATTTTTCATGGGATTCATATCCTCCCATTCATTCATATATTCTGGGTGTGGCCTGTACTGTGGCTGTCTAACCAATTTCTCAAATTGCTCCTGTAGGCTGTTTTTTAGTCAGTTATTCTTGTAACAAAACATGAACTCACTAACACTGCATTTACAATGAACTTTTATTTGCAGCTCCGCCTTCTGAGTCATCCATAGATCTGAAGACAGCCAGTGATCTGCATTATAACATTAAACGTTTCAAAGATGACCTAGCCAACATCAAGCAGAGCGCTACTCCCATTTGTAAAGGACTGCTGTTATATTTACATTCATTAAATCACCCAAAAGTTCTCAGGGAGACAACGTCTCATTTACTTCAGCTAGCCAAAGAAAACGGACTGATTTCTGAATAAACAATCAATTTTACAACAGTGAACACAGCTGTGAAAGCAGTAATAGACACTGTACAGAAAGTAAAAAATATACCAAGGGATGGCCACGTCTTTAAGAGAAACCTTCAGTATTCCGCTCAGGATGCTACTGACAGTGTTTCTTCTGAAGCAGTGTCCAGCCCTGGCTTGCCATGCTCCCAGCATTCAGGTTCCTCATTTCCTCATGCTACACCAGTTAAACGACCAGCCAGCTGTCCTCCCTTTGCTCTCATGAGCTCTGTGTCAACTCCGACTGTGACAGCACCCTCCACTAAGCGATTGAAGGCAGACTGCAACAAATGTGTTAACAGGCGGACATCAATTATAAAATTAGTGTCTAGTAAACAAAAACTTAAACAGAATTTTGACAATTTGCTCTTGTCAAGTGTTGAAAATAGAAGAATTAAGCAAGCTTATAAAACGAAAAGTAGACATAGAATCAAAATTGCGCAAAGAAAGACAGGAGTTAAAGAGGACTGTGATGCAAAATGATGCTGAAATTAAAAAATTGAAGAAGTCTATTGAACTGGTCTGTCCAAAAGTGCAGAAGAAGAAACGTAAACACATGTGTAAATTTAGGAGACTGTTGGGAGAAGTCAAAAAAGAACTGAACTGTGCAAGAAAAAAAATCAAAGAACTGGAAGTGGATAATGACAAACTGCAGGGATTGTTACTGGACTGTGAATCTTCAACTGACTGTGACACCGTGTCAGTGAAGAAGGATTCTAAAACATATTCCTCATCCTACAGACTTGCAGCGTACTCATGCATCCTCCACCAGGTGCCAGTGGAGGAGACAAGTAATCTTATAGCAGACGTTGAGAATATCACAGGTTATAAGGTTGAAGGAAAGGCTGATGTTTCAACTGTTGCCCAGTTTGCATATGAACTTGGTGTGTTAAGTGAAGTGCAGGTTGCAGAAGCGGTAGTGAATGAGACATGTGCTGATCTTACTCTTGGTTGGGATGCAACATCCCTGTCAGCTCAGTACATCAATGAGGTTCATCTCATGTTTCCGGGTGATCCCCCTTCCTGCCCATGGGGACTTCAGTTACAGGTGAATGCATTAGCAGGAGGGACTACAGATGACTTTGTGACTCATATAAAGGAAGCACTCAGTGACATCAGTGAAACATAATAGTCTAACATCTACCAGTTCTTTGGAAGTGAGCAATATTTTCATCTCAAAACTCAAAAACACCATTTCAGATCGAGTGGCTGTAAACAAATGTGTCAGAGAAAAACTGGAAGAAGATTTAAACATCGAACTGTTGCAGCTGAATTGTAATATCCATCCCCTTGATGGCATAGCCAATGAGAGCAGGACTTCTCTTAAACAATTGGAGAAACAAAAGCAGATCGTGGGACAGCTTCTCGGTCGTGGCTGCTGTGCAGATAATTTGATATATGCTCCGTCAAAAATGAGATTTAAGCAAGGAAAAGGTGACCCCAAAGGCTTCAAATCATTCCTCAAAAAAGTTGGTATTGATCTCAAACTGATTGTTCGATACGTAGGGAACAGACTCCATTTATGTTCCATTTAGCAGGAATATTTTTCAGCTACAGAACACAGATTTTAGATTACCTGCAGTATTTTTGCAACTGTACCAGTGGATTACGCACATCGATCATCAAGGACCTCACCAACGCTTCGATCGTTGTTCACCTGCAGAGCCTGGGTCTGTTGGGGAAGATTGTAACTGGGCCATGGATGTCTCTTCTCTATGGTAACAAGGCTAGCAAAACGAACCTTGAGGTTGTTCCCTTCTTGAAGTGTGCTGTTGAAAACCTAAGCAAATTTGAAGAAGAGCCTCTTAATGTCCTCAAAGCCAAGAAGGATGTTTTTGAGAATCCATTGAAGGAGAATGATGTCCTCAGATGTCTACAACAAGTGGATGATGAATCCCAGAGTGAGCTGAAAGAGACTCTTCATGTCCTCTTCAAGGCAACGGTCAGGGTGCTAACCCAGCAGCTACAACCATACCTCTCAGGAGTCTTGTCCAATCCCTCCACTGCATTGTTGGAGCAGACCAAGTCAGCCCCTGTTGATAACATGTTTAGTGAAAGAGTTATCGCCATGGTTGATAGCCAGCACCACCGCACACCAAATGCCACTATGACGGGAAGGTGCGTGCAAAGCAGAACAAGACCCTTGAATGGTTGAAAAAGAAGGACTGTATTGAACAGAACCGCCTCATCCTGTTTGCTGTCAAGCGAGCAAAGCAAGTGAGGAGAATCAGAAGGGAAAGGGAAAGACTACGTGAAAAGGAATACCAGGTCAGACAAGAAAAGAAGAAGCAAAAGAAGGAAACCAAACACCGGAACACCGTGGAGAAGAAACTGAAAGCAGCAGTAGAAAGTGATGAACTTAAGGATGAGCTGGCCAAAGAACTGGGTTTGAGTGAAGAGCAGAGAGAAGTTCTTGGTGATGTTGTGATCAATCCCAAGAGTCTGGTTGATTGTTGTATTGACCATGTCTGGTTTTCTGAAGAGGATGGATGCAATGTACTTTACCATGGTAGGGTGTTGAGAGTGTGGCAAAAGAGAAATGGCTTGAAAACACTTTGTTTGTCATACTGGAGAGACAGTGAGGCTGAGGAGGAGTGTGAGGACCATCAGATGCCCCTCTTCAAATTCCTGACAGACTACAGCCTGGGTGATCTTGCGTTACATTAAAAGAGACGGGAAAAAGTTTTAAATCTGGGCATAAGGTGCAGTTTTAGAAACCTCTCATTCTGAGCTTCATTTTGATACCCTACACGATATAGTTTGGCACAACATAAAATTTGCAGTTTTTCTCCAATGTGGACACCATTATTCAATATGGCCGCCACAGATTGTACATAATACTTGAAAATTATGTCATAGTGAATACTTACAGTCATAGTTGTACAGAATTCACCTTAGAATGCATCACAAATTGTGCATATGTTTGTTTTCATTGAAGTAACCGTTTCTGTTAGCTTCAAGACTGCATCAATGTGACCTTTGACCTTGGAGTCATCAAGGTCACCTGGTGACCCCAAGGTCAGCAGGAAAAACATTTACATATATTCAGTGACATCACCACTGAATTTGATTAGGATACTGTTTATCACTTAGAACTGGTGTTCATTTTAATAAACACTTCTTTTCAGTCAGAAATGTCTGTTAATTAACACAATTTTTTTTCTCTGTTGTTATGTAAATAAGCTTAATTAAAGTACATTAAAACTACTACTTTGAATGACAATATCTCCTGTCTTATTCATTCAATATTAACAAATGAGGTGTCCTTTTGTTGCATTTTTAGTGCTCTTTCTTTTTTTGCAAGCAGAAGGTCATTAAAACAACTTTTGAAAAATGTCCAAGTGCCTACATCATGTAGCTGTTTTTGTTTCGTTTTTATTTCATCCATCCATTATCTTTTACCCGCTTATTCCATTTTGGGTCACGGGGGTCTCCAGTGCCCATGTCCAGCAATCACTGTGCGAGGGGCGGGGTGCACCCTGGACAGGTCTCCAGTCCATCACAGAGACACATAACCATTCACTCTCTCACTCACACCTAGAGACAATTTAGAGTTACCAATCAATCTAACATGCATGTTTTTGGTCTGTGGGAGGAAACTGGAGTAAATGGAGAAAACCCATGTTTATTTATTTATTTATTATATTTACTTTTCATTTTGTATGCTTTTTTTTCCGGGTGCGTCTGTGGAAGTCGGTAGAAAGAGACGAAAAACATTTTGAGTCTGATTTATTCTCTGTCTTCCAACATCAAACTCAGAAAAAAACTAATTCTGACGTGAAATATATACATTTGTGTCAGCCACACATAAATCAGCCCCGATTTTCTTAATTTTGGGAGATCGGCCGATACTTATATTAGAAACCGATTTTTTTTTTTTTTTTTTTTTTTTTTGTAGTTTTAACAACAATTGTCTGAACTTCATTTATATTTCAGATCACTACCTCGTGGCCAGTTTTAACAAGTTTGTATTGTTTCTAGGATATAGTTCAAGGGTATGTTTTTCAATTGAAGGTGCATTGTGACCTTATAACACCTGACAGTGTCGCTTATAAAACAAAATCGGCAGGTCAGACTTTGTAGAAATCTGTGATCAGCCAGAAAACTGCAGTCGGTTACTTGTCTGTACCTCATCTGTGTTCTTTGTTTAAAACAGGTCTCTTTTGTAAATGAGTCCTCGAGACTCATTGAGACTAACCTGTAGAAATATAGGTTGAATGAGTGGACGAACCCACGAACAAAATGCAAACAAAAGTCCCTGCACACACATGTAAAGTACTACTTTGTGTTTGTCAGACTACTTGTGAAGTTCTCATCAGCAGCTAGCTCTTTGTTAGCATGAAGCACAGACTGAATGGACGGCTGCTCAAACTAAACCATTCAGTCCGGAGGAACTTTAACACAAACCTCTTTCAAATAAACAGGAAAAACATCAACAATTTACATAAAAAGTTTCAGTAAAGTTGCCTACTAGCTCCAGACGGGACGTAAATGAAGGCTTCACTTCTTCTTAATAGAAATATAAACGTATTTCATAGACTTTTGTTTATGTTCTTCAGTAGAGAGGTATGCGCTTTTTTTTTTTTTTTTTTAAATTTTCTTTTTTTTTTTTTTTTTTTACTTCCTCAGTTTGCTTTGGCGGATGTCAAACACCAATTTGATGCGTTACCGCCACCAACTGCTGAGGAGTGTGCACTGAAACGACACAAAACGAATAAACTTCCTTTTTCATTCAACTTTCTAAAGGTTAGTCTCATTGAGTCACCAGGACTCATGAACAAGAAAGACCTGTTTTAAACAAAACCACAGATGAGGTACAGACAACAATAATTCAACAAAAAGCAATTAAAACAAATAAAACAAGTTATAAACACAGTAATGGCCTGTACACTGTAAGTCAGAATCAGACAGATTTGTCATTCGCATCTCGTGATACATGTGGTGGAACGAGTTTATGTACACAGGGTCCCATCCAACAGTAAAATGGAAAAGAAAAACAGCAATAAGAGCTAAGAAAAACATCAACTAAATATACACTAAGCACTAATAGCATAAAAACATTACGTCGAACAGCAGCACGAACATGAGTCTGTGTGAGCAGATAAGCACGCATGAGCACATCAACATGATACAGATCAGCAGCAACATGATCCTGATTAAATATTCATAAGTCTAACAGCCTCAGGGTAGAAGCTGTTCCGCATTGTTGTGTGGACCTGACTGATATGGACATTTTGCTGGACTTTAAGAAGAGTCAGCGTGGAGGACATGATGGGTGTTCACTCGTGGGAGGAGCTCCTCCAACTCATCTCAACATGCCTCCTGCAGTGCAGCAGTCTGGTGGACATATTCAAGAACAGGTGAGACAGGAGGACAGGGATGTCTTTCATTGTTTGTCTGTAGATACAGTAAATATTGATGCATATTACAGAATAATATCAGCTATAGTGATTAAAAAAATTAAAAAGTGAAATTTACAAAGCCTCTACATCTAGAGTTATCTGCAGGGGCACAGCTATTTTTTTAATGCATTTTAATATCAAGATTTATTTTTTTCTTCCTGTTCTTCATGTTTTTGTATGATTTTATACTTTTATTTTGGACTATTGTTTCAACAATGTAAGACAATGGGGAGCTCAGAAGAGACTGTCCACATGGTTACAGCATCACTTCTGTTCAGTCACTTTCTCTAAAATAAATAGTTTGTTCTGTTGAACACAAATGTTATTTAGCTAGTGAATTTTATTTTGAGTCAAACTGGGACTTACTTAATGTAGTCTGAACTCGTGTGGCCGTTGTTGGTCTGTTCAGACCTGATTAGTCAGATTTCAGGGAGGTTGATGACAGCAGCTCTTTCAGTCTTTGTTTATTAAACAGAGAGGAGAAATACTGCCACCTGGTGCACAGAAGACACCACAGCTGGCTGTTTCCTCACATCTGTTTGGTGTTTTTCTCCGCAGTTATTGAATGTTTTAGTTGTCCACGTTCCTGACAACTTTTCTTGTTATCCAGTTGGGACTCTGTGAGTAAAACACACATTATGATCAATAATAAATATACATTTCAGGGCCTGTGTTCATCTGTTCATCCTGTCATGTTATTTAGCATTTGTGTTTTGTGTGTAGGAACAGGGAAGTAGTGTTTGGACTTGTCCCTCCTCCTGCAGTCAACAGTCCTGCCTGCAATTCAAATTAACTTTTCACTTTATGGTTTTAATCAGAATATTATTTTATTCTCATGTTCTGTGTAAGAGGATCAACCTCATTCAAAGGGGAGTCCTTTATGGTTCATTGAAAGGAGGCATTTTATTTGTTTTGTGTAATTCTGTTTCAATGTTTTGATTTAAAGTACTTCCTAACTTTTAGTTTGTCACAGAGACAAGATGTGAGTTCAGACTAGTTTACAGAGGTTTAACAACATCAGGATTAAAGTGTCCTAATTACTGTTCTGTTCAGTTTTGTATGTCTCTGCAGAAAAAGAAAGCGTGACGACAGGCAGGACGATTCAGAGCCGTACATAAAGAAGCCACCCAACGCCTTTGTGCTGTTCATGAAGGAGCAAAGGCCAAACATGGTGGTTGAACACAGTCCTAAAGACAGTGCTGCCGTGAACACCCTCCTGGGACAGAAAGTGATTGTGTTTGTTCTGTTTGTGCATCAGGTGTGTGTCAATGTGGATACTGACAGTGTTGTGTGTGTGTGTCTTTTGACCACAGTGGAAATCATTATCATCAGAACAGCAGGTCAAATACTTTGAAGAGGCCCAAGTCCAACAACTAGTCCATGAACAGTAGCACCCGGGCTGGTCCACCAAAGACAATTATGTACGTACATTCTGCTCAAACATGATCACATGACAGACTTGATGCTGATGAAGCACAGTGACTGCAGTGACTCGCTGTCAGCTCATATCAATGTTCTTTGTTTTTAGGGCAAAAAAAGAAAGCGGGAGAGAAACAGGGGAACATCTGCCACACACACTGAATGTAAGATTCAGATTTGTGTGGATCAAATCATGTGTTCATGTGATTTACAGAAGATGATAAGACCACAGTTTGTAAAATTTAACCAGATTAGATTACAGGCTGTGCAGAGTTTAGACAAACTTAATAATCAGTTGAACTAGAGTTTCCGTGTTGATGTTTAAATGGTTCCTGATGTAGGAGCAGTATCTCGTCTTTAAAGATCACCACTTGCTCTTGCTGAGGTTGGATGCTTTTCCCCCTCCCCTCCCTCTCCGCTTTGCTTTACTGCTCTGTCTGTCTGTGAAACTGCTTCTGAGCCTCTCTTGCATATCTTCCAAACCATAATTATGGACTTGTTTAGATCAGTTGGTCCCTCAACACAATTGATAACATATCTTCGAAGAGAAGACAGGCTTTAGGCGAGCCAATTTGCCATGATGGCACGCACACAGCTGGATATCTCATTGACTTGAAGACTTGATGATGTGTCTATCTCTGCTGCCATTTGTGGATTTTAAGAACGCATATTTAATTGGATTCATGATAACTGGTTCCTGCTTTTAGGATTTGGCTGGTTGCTGGTTTTATCTACAATCAAGGAAGTCATCAGCAGCAAATTTGGACCCGATCATGCTGCTTGCCTTATGATGGCTTGGTTCGTGCCTCAAGTACCTAGACTCAAATGCTTTGAGTAGAATGGATCAGAGCTCAGGGATTTTACTCAGGCACGTTCGTTCCATTGGTGTGGCCATGTAATTTGGACATTTCGGAACCGAGTGGACCAACACAGACTCAAGGTAGATGACATTAAGTTCTGCCTGTCCCCAAAACAACTGTGTGTTTATCTGAATTTGGCTCCCCTGGCTGGCCTGATGCTCACCAATTCTGAACTGAAAATTAAACTGGGTTAAACTGGGTTTCTTTTTCAGAAACAGATCCTGTCTAACCCTGAATGCTAGGAAACGCCTTGTATCTGTGACTTTCCTTCCCTCCATTGATTACGGTGACATTATTTACATGAACGCTCCTACAAGAACTCTGCAGATGTTGGATGCTGTCTATCATAGTGCACTAAGATTCATAACTGGCTGTGATTGTTGTACCCACCACTGCACCCTGTATTCACTGGTTAACTGGACATCATTAACTTCACGCAGACTCTCCCACTGGTACATTTTCATCTTTAAATCATTTCTTAGTCTGCTGCCTTCATACATCTCCTCCTACATGTCTCTGCGTGAGTGCAGCTACGGCGTGCGCTCTCAGGACATTATTACCTGCAGCGTTCCCTCAGTGAGGACTAAACTAGGCAAAAGGGCCTTCTCCTACTCCGCTCCTGTTTCCTGGAATACCTTACATAAACATTTGAAGCTCTCGACCTTGACCTCTCTAAGTGGCTTTAAGAATCTGTTGGACTCCTGGCAGGGACCAATGCAAACATGTTCCTGACTTTAGTATTCTACATTTGCCTTAGAATCTAGCTGTTTTGGTTTTTTTTGTTACCTTTTTTTTTTATTTTTTTTTTAGCTATCCTATTTGTTTTTTTTTTTTTTAAAACTGGAGTATGGCTTTTTATAACTGTTTATTGTTGTCGCTGTTGTCCATTGTTGTCATCATTCTTTGTTGAAATCAGGTCTCTCTTGTAAATGAGTCCTCGAGGCTCAATGGGATTTACCTGTCTAAATAAAGCTTGAATGAAAAAAATTCCAACTGATCAACAAGAGGAAACCAGCTGAATAAACATGTCATCATTTCAGGACTCTTGGATTCCCATAGGCGTAGTCTTTGGCCATTCCCCAACATCCCTCAAGAATGTTTACGGATTTCACTGGAGGAAACTGGCTGATTATTCCATCCTTATCAGAACTCTTACAGTGCCCTCAAGAGTATCCATGAACATTGCTCACTGCTCTTGTCTTCTCCCCCCTCTGTAGAATGTCTATGTCACTATGTGCTTGTTTGTGCAAGGTGTTTTTTAATATTAGAGTTTTTCTTCTCAGCCAAGAAGAAAAAGTCTGATAAGATTTTTTTCCCCCTCCAATTCCTACGTGTCCAGTTTCACTACTTTTTGTCTGTCTAAACAGATCTCACTTGTAAATGAGTCTTCTAGGCTCAATGTGATTTATCTGTCTAAATAAAGGTTGAATGAAAAAGAGTCTCAGAGAACTGACTATGTTTTTGTGTTGCAGCATCTGCACCACAACCTGAAAACTCTCAGCAGGTGAAGAGGCTGCATGTGGAGCAGCAGCCTGTCCCTCAAGCAGGTGTCCTGGTGGCTCCGCCCCTTCATACACCTGGGGCCACACAGTCCAACATCATGTGGGTGTATCTGCCACCAACAGAACAGTCTGGGCTGGGCCAGAGACAGCAGCAGGTAATGTGTTTGCAGCAGACGCACATTTAAAGAATCTCCTGTGAACTCTCATGTTTGTAACAACTCTCATGTTTCTCTGGTTGATCAGGTCATCCCAGTTCCCTGGATGTCTCTGCCCTTCACTGGTGGACCACCACAAACCTGCAGCTCTCCTCAACATTAGAGGGGCTGTTTGTGTTTTATGTTACATGTTTTATGATTGTATGTGACTTTGTGTTGGTGTGAAGATGTCTGTGCTATATATATGTACAAACCG